GCTTTAATTGTCAGTTTTGTTGAAAAAATGATTTACGGCCCACCACTTAGCAAGAAGAAAGGGTTAAAAGCAGGTTTTTCGGCTGAAATCCCAATGAAATGTAAATTTCTTGTCTTCTGAGTTTCTGGTAGTCTCTTGCTTTCCCTCCCACATGATTGCATACAGTACACATACCGCATCTCAAAAGAGGGCCGTATCGAAAAAAAACGTCGACGACAAAGACGCACAGATAATCCGATCACCAGTTAATCGAGGCCTGGATAAGCGAGGTTCTACTGTATTTGAGGCTGTTCTGTAGCTAGGAATTCATTTTGAACTTCTTTTCTACTACAACAAATATTTCTGAGTTTCTATGCAATTTTGTTTTTGTTTCAGTTGAATGCTCATGATAACAAAGATGTTATGGCAATTCAAAATGGTAAACATTTTTGTGAAACACCCTGAATAACAACTGCATCAAACTGGATTAATTATTTATTGAAATAATGAAAATAAGGCTCAAGGCTACATTCCTTTTGACTTTCAATATCTTGATTCAGAGTTGCTTGGTTTCCATGTGGATTTCAGCAAACAAAGTCTTAATCGTTCTCATTTGTACCTTAAAAAGACATTTATAGTCTTTTAGAGCGAAAACACAACAATAATATAATTCCTTGAGTTCTTAAACTGTTCCTGAAACATCCAGTACTTCATTTATAAGCCCTGAGTCATTATTGAAATCTTCAATGCAAATGTTTTGTGAACCATGAAGAAGTCAAAGAGACCCTGATTTTGGTTCAACACAAAAAATGCAGTTATAAGCAAAGAGCCTCTTACATCTGGTACTTGATCGTATCTTACTCAACCATGCCATCGGATGCCATAAAAGGAAAAAGTGTCTCCTGATGTCCCAAGTTAAAACCATACAGCCCAGTTCTAGATTCCATGTTTTTGTTTAACCCTTTAGTGCTCATGCTATTCTTATTTTCAGGCTAACAAAATTAAGTATTATGCCATGATATTGTAAGCCAAATGCAGCTTTTTTGGTAGGAAATGAAAGAACAGATTCTGTAGAATGACATCAAAATTGTTTACATTAGATTTAATAGAAGGGAAATATACCAACTTAATTTCCAACTTCTTGCAAAAATTATACCTCACCCTCATAGAATAACCCACAGTCACCTTCACATTTTAAGCTGTGAAAATAAAAAAAATACACAACAACCACCACACAGTCACTCGTGCACAAACTCCTCATGATCTTGATGAGTTTGTATAATATGGACAAACTTGGAAATAAAAAACATGATTTAACAACAAAAACACACCAAATGGTGTGCTTGGGTATCAAAGGGCTAAAGGAACTTTTAAAATTGCATTTTGTCTCTGCTCTCTAGAGAGCAGAGACAAAATGCAATTTTAAGATGAGTTCAGATCGATTTCATGGAGCGTGAAATAGTCTCACGTTGTCAGGTTTGGTTCAGTTCAAGCTCAGTATAATTCAGTTCTAAAAAATCCAGGTGTTCAGGTTCAAAGTTCAAATCAGTGGCAATAGGATGATTCAACTTTCAGGATTATGATGAATAAAATTATTTCTTGCATAGCATTCTGCACATAACATATGCCACTGCAGAACTAAATTGATTTTATTCATGAACCTGAAACACCTCAGGGTATTGAAAATCTCTATTTTTTTCTTTTTAAGTTTCCCTCTTGAGAAAGTTATGATGATGCAGATGTTTAGAATAGGGGAATGACTGATTAGTGGGTCTGGTGTTGGGACGTCACTAGGACAAAGCATTCCCGAAACATCTGAACTCAGGCAGGATGTAGTCCTCTTTAACGACAACACTGAAGGATCTCTAATGGTGTTGCATTTTGGTCCAGATATATTTAATGGTTCCATTTTTACCTGGTCTTCTTTGATCCAACTGATGATTCAACTGCAGTAGTACCTGGTAACAATGACTCATGCCTGGAAGTACAGAAAAAAATATTAACAGAAAGTGTGATAATTTGTTAACTCCAACGGGATGCTGATGGTCGCTCTGATGTACTAATTGCTAGCCCCTTCATGTAAGGGTTCAGCAGAACAGATACCAACTGGAACAACATTTGGAGCTTTGTCCAGAACCATTCCTTCTGATGGATCTAAGCCCCATGTAGGGGCTCTTGAACTCCAAAGTCTTGGTTGTGACATCCTCTGCTCATCCTGGTCTCAAGACCATCTCCAATCCCTGTGGAAAAGCCCCATGTAGGGGTTCTTGAACTCCAAAGTCTTGGTTGTGACATCCTCTGCTCATCCTGGTCTTAAGACCATCTCCAATCCCTGTGAATGTTAGTCAAAGAAACAGTCAACTCACATGACACTCCAATGCATAAACTTTCCCAGTACAGTCAACTTCCATTATAAAAAAAAAAACATGCATATAGTAAAAACCTGATTTATAACAAAATTCTAGCCTTTGTCCAGTTGAATGTCCATAGACACCCATATAATAAAAAAATTTGGATATAGCAAAATCAGTTTTAAAAAATTTTGGCTATAACAAAGGATTTCTTGTGTCCCCATTAAAAAGGGCATCAGATATAATGAACTTTCCTTCGTGGCAAGTGAAGGATTATTTTTTCAAACGCCTTTTTCCTTTTTTTCCCGCCAGGAATGAAGGGTTCAAGTTCTTCTCTTAATCCTTCACCCATATCTATCCCTTGACTATTAGTTATCAGCAACATCTGTCCACAGGGATTAGCCCATTGCATTAAAAATACACCTCCCACAGCATCCCTGGCCTCCTATACTATAAATTGTGCCAAGGACTTTCTGCATTCTGGACTTTGACCACAAATCTGTGAAAACTGTGACAAATGAGCGAGCAATGTTCACGTGTTCACTATATCAAGGACGGTGAAATGGCACATCTGGCCAAGAAATGAAGTGCACATCTATTAAACTGAAAACAGATATTCTGTGAGAAGTCAAGAAAGGAAAACTGAAGGTTGAGTTTTCCGCAAAGTAAGACATCCCACCATCAATGCTACCTTCCATCGTCAGCACAAAATAACAAATTTGCATGGAATTCTTTAATGCAAGTTTGCTCCAGGAAGAAAGAAGTTTAGAGGAGCAAAATAAAGTGACATTGAAGAAGCTTTACTTGAGTGGTTCCAGCAAGCATGTGCCTGCAACATCGCCCTTGATGGAACATGAAGTAGCATAACTGGCGAAGGTATTGAGGATTGACAACTTTTGACAACTTTGAGTACTCTTCTGGTTGGCTCTCTTGCTTCAAGGACAGACATGGTATCGTGTTTAAGAAAGTTTGTGGGGAAGCTGGAAGGGGGAAGCCAGAAGCTGGAAGCATGCCAGATGAAATAGTCAACAAATGGAAGAATGAAACACTTAGAAGCATTACATGCAGACACTGCCCCTGGCCCTACCCCTGGATATTTTTGATGTTGATGAGACACATCTATTCTTCAATCTCACATCTGAAAAAACTATGCAGGTAACTCATACTCTGGAAAACGACAAAACATACAGATAAATTCCTTTGTAATCCCCTAGACATTACATGTACCTTGATTTAATAGTGAGTGAGAACTATAATTTAAAGGTGACATTAGACCTAACCCTCTGCCACTCCTGTACTCCTTCCTCATTAGCTGAATTGAGAGAAGTGGTAAGAAGGTGATAAGAGGAGTAAAGAGCACCTTAAAGTGTTCCTGTGCACCAACATGTTAGGAAAAGAAAAATTGCAACCAACTATCATTGGCAAGTTCAAGAAGCCTTGCTTCTGAGGTGTGCGACATCTGCCTGCAAATTACCACCACAATAAGAAAGTATCTATCACTACACCTCTTTTCCTGGAATTCCTCCAATGCTTTGATGCAAAAATGGGATGNCCGCCAGGAATGAAGGGTTCAAGTTCTTCTCTTAATCCTTCACCCATATCTATCCCTTGACTATTAGTTATCAGCAACATCTGCCCACAGGGATTAGCCCATTGCATTAAAAATACACCTCCCACAGCATCCCTGGCCTCCTATACTATAAATTGTGCCAAGGACTTTCTGCATTCTGGACTTTGACCACAAATCTGTGAAAACTGTGACAAATGAGCAAACAATGTTCACGTGTTCACTATATCAAGGACGGTGAAATGGCACATCTGGCCAAGAAATGAAGTGCACATCTATTAAACTGAAAACAGATATTCTGTGAGAAGTCAAGAAAGGAAAACAGAAGGTCGAGTTTTCTGCAAAGTACGACATCCCACCATCAATGCTACCTTCCATCGTCAGCACAAAATAACAAATTTGCATGGAATTCTTTAATGCAAGCTTGCTCCAGGAAGAAAGAAGTTTAGAGGTGCAAAATAAAGTGACATTGAAGAAGCTTTACTTGAGTGGTTCCAGCAAGCATGTGCCTGCAACATCGCCCTTGATGGAACATGAAGCAGCATAACTGGTGAAGGTATTGAGGATTGACAACTTTTGACAACTTTGAGTACTCTTCTGGTTGGCTCTCTTGCTTCAAGGACAGACATGGTATCGTGTTCAAGAAAGTTTGTGGGGAAGCCAGAAGCCAGAAGCATGCCAGATGAAATAGTCAACAAATGGAAGAATGAGACACTTAGAAGCATTATATGCAGACACTGCCCAGAGGATATTTTCGATGTTGATGAGACACATCTATTCTTCAATCTCACATCTGAAAAAACTATGCAGGTAACTCATACTCTGGAAAACGACAAAACATACAGATAAATTCCTTTGTAATCCCCTAGATATTACATGTACCTTGATTTAATAATGAGTGAGAACTATGATTTAAAGGTGACATTAGACCTAACCCTCTGCCACTCCTGTACTCCTTCCTCATTAGCTGAATTGAGAGAAGTGGTAAGAAGGTGATAAGAGGAGTAAAGAGCACCTTACAATGTTCCTGTGCACCAACATGTTAGGAAAAGAAAAATTGCAACCAACTATCATTGGCAAGTTCAAGAAGCCTTGCTTCTGAGGTGTGCGACATCTGCCTGCAAATTACCACCACAATAAGAAAGTATCTATCACTACACCTCTTTTCCTGGAATTCCTCCAATGCTTTGATGCAAAAATGGGATGCAATGGAAGGAAAATTCTCCTCTTCATCGACCAATGCCCTGCCCATCCACTGGGCATCATTAAGCTAAGAAACATGGAAGTGGTGTGCTTTCCTGCCAATTCAACGAGCCAACTACAACCCCTAGACCAAGGGGTGATTGCAAAACTGAAGCAGAAGTATTGGAAATGACTCATTCGTTCTCTTTTGTGGCACTTAAGTAAAAAAGGGAATGGGCCATGGATTACTAAAATGGAACGTACTTGATGCCACGCAAAATCTCGTCACAGTGTGGAATGACGTCAGTCAGAAACTCTTTCTTATTTTCAAATTCTAGCTTCTCACATTTTACCTTCCCACAGATAAGTCCTGATGCCATATCAAACTGCTTTCAAAAACGTCCGAAGACGGTACCTCTTAGATATGTCCTCCTTTGACATCGACGACGTTACCTCTAACTACTACGACCCCTCCTTTAACACATTTAAGTGTCGGACGAACGTTGACTCTCCGTTAAACACTTATCTGACTAGGACATTCCCACGTGCGAGCCGCTTCCCAATTCTGTGTGTGCAGAAACTCACAGAGCTATGGAGCAAGAAGACACTGCCAATGAGAAGGAAATGGAAGAAGAACCCGCAAAGTCATGGGATGTTATAGAAGTAATGAAAACGATCAGGCTGCACTATGATGATGCACGCCACAGAAATGAAGAAATGCTTAAAAAAATCTCAGACATAGAGAAATTCTTTCTGAAGTGGGCGACTTCAAGTCAGGAAACATGCATCCGAGATTACCTGCAGTCACAAGTGCCGTGTTCTGAATGCACTTTTTTTTTCATGTTTTAATATGCTCTTAGTGACCAAATGATTGTGGGTCTCCAGATCCACAGCAAAGGTTCTTGTGCTCTCTTAAAGCATGAAAGGGATAAAAAATATGTAAATGAGGCCATAAAACAGATTCCAGTCCTTTAAATGGAGCTGTACGACCTCCCCTCCTGATAAAATGAATTGAACAATGTTACCCTCAGATGACATTGTTCAAGGACCCGAACTGAAACAGGTAATTCTTTTTTTACTCCTTAGTTGTATGTCCACTATGAATGTGGTTGAGGGAAAGTCAACTATACTTCTGTTCTGGAACTACCTTTCACCTTGGCAACATCACCAGCATCAACTTCATCAGTCTCAATGTCAGGCAACCCTTCTTCAACCACTGGGAAGTTCTCCTTTCCTTCCCTTCAACCTGTATCTTTACTTAAAACCAATATGTAAAGAAATTAATAAAGAGAGCATCCCTTCCTACACTAAATTGGCATTGAATTACAACTGTTCTCAACCATAGCAAAGTTCTGTTTTAAAATATATTCCTGAAAGTGGGGGAAGGACTAATGATGGGATATATAGTATGATTTGGAAAGAAAACCTATTGTTTTCTGAAATTACGATGATGTATGGCAGTCTTAGTGGACAATGACCTTAATAGTGTGACACTGTGTATATAGGTCATAGGAATTGGAGCAGGTGACAGCCAAGCAATTTCACACAGATACATAGATGAGTTATGTAGGGGGCCCCTCAAAATGTACTAAACAAATTTACTTTAAGCAAATGACATTGGAAATGGACTTATTGCTTTGCTTAAAGGTTAAAGGTCTGACCTTCCTGCACAGAAAAGACAAGCCATCGGTCTTAAAAATTATGTCAATCAAACACAGAATTCAACATGAAAACAAAGATCTTTTAACTTATTGAGAAAAAACTAGTGATAACTATCCCAAGGAACAAGAGCCTCTTCAATAGCCCAATGAACTTGGAGAAATGCTGCAGATGCATAGATGAGGATGCCATGAACAAGCAGGTAACAAATAACATTGAATCAACATGATTGGATGTGGCTCACTTCAAAAGCTGTTTGGTTCTCCGTTGTTGAAAGCCTCCTATGAAATCTGAACACCTCACCCAGTTGGATGTGTCAACCCTGCACCAAAGGAAGGAAACTGAATACCCATCAACTTCACTAGAAAGAGCATCTCTTAGGGTGCCAAAGAAAATACTAAGACTAATTAAAACTCAAAAATTCAAAGAAAGCTTTGCAATGCTAAAGCAGTTAAGTGATGTTATTAGTGAAGTGGGACAGTCAGAATATGAACATTACAGGAAAGCCATTGCAACATTGACAGTTGGTATGAAAACTGGTGCACATGTGAATGTACCAATTAAGGACTTTGTCAGAGAAGAGACCCCAAAATCACAAATTTTAGAAGATGAAATGAAGGGTGCCAGTGGCACAGACCTAGACCAACATAATGTTCCTGGTGAAGGACATCCACATGCATCAAGCACAACACAAGATCTTTCAGGCAACATACAAGTCCAGCATTTTTCTACAGGTGGAAATGCTATCCTCCAGGAAGTACTTAATGCTAGTCAAAGTGATCAACATTTAATATCAACTCCAACAGCCACTGCATCATTGCAAGCTTCAAAGCCTTCACTAGCACAGAAACTTGGAGGACACCCAAGGGATACCAACACATTTAAATGCTCTTGTGCTAAGGTCATGACCAAGAAAACTAAAGCAAAAAACCAGATCATGGTGCTTAGTGATGGTTTTGATCAAAAGAACTTGAGCAGGGTTCTCAATGGGGAGGAATGCATTCAGGAGGATGACCTTAATGATTTTGAACCTTTGATACCAAATGTCTTCTCAAACTATGACAAGTTCCACCAATTTTTTTTATAGCAGAAGAATTCAGTGCATTGAAAGCTACCTTGACCTTTGTAAAGGAATTCTACAACAGTTGTCCAACATGCTCTACCTTATACTGTGAAGGTTGCCTTAGCTACCTTGGTTTCCTGCCTGCTTTGGCTGGGATGTGATGGGTGCCAGAGATGGTTTCATCAGAAATGCCCAAAACCCAAGAAGGTTCCTAAAAGAAAACGGTTCTGTGGATGGTGCATATAGATGGTATGATTTTCAAACATAATTTATGACTGACCTGTCCAACATTGTCATGTTAAACCCTTGGTTGGAAAATGGAGAGTTGTGCATGAACCTATTCATCTTGTTTATCTGTAATCCTGGGATTCAAGCAAATCAGATTGCAAGTTTTTATGACATGACCTACAGACAGCATCAAAGTATGTTTTAACCCAGTTTATAGCTCAGGATAAGGAAATTAGCATGTAGAACCAAGCATCTAGCTGCTTCTACCCTGGCAGTTGTATGTCATTTCAGTTAATATGCAAAAAAAACTTATATGCAAGTGTAAGAAATGAGAATTTAGAACTATCTGTCCTGAACTCCTTTTGCTTGTCTTCATCAAAATCGATTGGAATTCTAAGTGTGAGACACATAACCTTGAATTTAAGATTGTGATGCAATTCTGTTTTGTAATACCTGATGCAACCTGGAACTATATTTGTGTCATGCAAGTTCAATTTTTTCATAGTAAACATGAAACTGTGATGTTACTGGTCAAGTACTGATCCCAAAAGTCAGTTTTGCATTACACAATTCTATGATAAAATTATAACTCAATATAAGTGACAACAATACTTAATATTACGATATGGTATCATAATTTTCATACCTAAAAGGACTATGTCTTAAAGGTCTAAATCTCCTTAGTTTTAATAGTTGAAAAATTGGAAAATTAGTCCGATTGTTCTTTAAGTCCGATGATGCACCAAGTTTGTGCAAAAAATTATTGGAAATAGCTGTAATGATATTTGTGAGGTTAAACTGCCTGTTGCATCTTGGCATATTACTCCCAGAAAGGCTTATTCAGTGAATTTTCTGGTTTTGAGGGTGAAAATAGTGTGAACCTAGTCCTAATACTAACTCAACATATTCTCCTAGGTTATTAGAAAATTTTCTTTTGTTTTCTTTTGAGCATTGTGGAATGTGTTGTTCTGTTTATTTGAATAGTCAAATTTGAGGACAAATTGTTTAATAGGAGGGGAGCCATGTGATGGGGTAATGGCATCACTGCCACCCACGTTTATGTGGGCCCCTGATGGTTGTACTCTTTCCAGTCTATTCTGAGTGGATGCCTTGTGAGGATGTTGATGCTCATTTGCGTCATTTACTGATACATAGATGTAGAAAACCATATGAATAAAGAAGA